TTGTTAAAGATGAAGTGACGCTATTACAAAAAGTGAAAAAAAAACCTCAAAGAGATCTACAGTATTATTATAAATTGATTATTAAGTATTTGATCCGAACAATACGATAAAATTTTAAAATACACAAAATTACAACTGTGACAAGTAGTAACGTGAATAACATTTAGAAAAGCTCAAACTGAAATTGAAAAGTAGTTTGTAATTAATTTTACCCCCAATAACAGCTCAATTTTGTCTAAAATTACATAGTAGTAGTAGTTTTACAAGTCTTTTTTTCCGTTGTAGTAGGATTGTTCAATTTGCTTGTTGTCTAATTTCTTAGGCCCAGTTAAAGGCAACTTGTTCAGTAAAAATGTCTAAGAAAGGATAGAAATGCTTTTAGACTAACAATAATTTTTTTGAAAACAACTGGAATTTTTGTATGACTCAAATGCTTTTTGAAGTTTCCATCATTTAATACCTATAGTACCCTTAATCACTAATCTTTTCCGCACAATGTAATTTCATTGATATTTTAAAAAAATGTAATGACCAATTTCCTTTTTTTTGTTTTTTTTAGGATGTAGAAATCAATTTTTTTTTAACAGCGAACAGAGCCAAATTTTCAAACTAGTTTATTTTTTATTCTGACTTTCGATGAAAAGAATTATTTATGCTTGGAGTGAGTTTTTTATGACTTTTAAGTCAATTTTCGACTAGTTAACTAAGGCATTTTGCGAATTTTGTTATATCATTTGAAATTTAATAAGGACTGGAACTCAATTGTAATTGTAGAAAAAAATTTTTTTTTGATCATTTTGTGTAAGGCCATGAAAGGTTAGTTTTGTGAGGTAAAATTATACGGGCATTATCTAGGGTTCTAAAAATACGCGCAAGCGGCGCACTAATGCGTTTCAAATTGAGTTGAGGAAAACCATTAGTATAGACGACGCTAAATATAGTACAGACGGTAAAAATATACCAATTCAGTTCACATTAGAGTTTGAGGTAATAAAGTGAGAGAAAAATTGAAGAAAAAAATCCTTTTTTCGATTACTTTCTCAAATTTTCAATTAAAAATTATTATAATTGGCCTCAAAGTGCGGTCGGAACTTTGAGCGTTTTGCCTTGTTATGCAAACAGTCCTGTTATATCTGAAAATTTATACTTTTTTTCAAGTCTTTTGGAGCGCGAATAAAATAGATTAAAAAGTTAGTTTAATATAAGGCTACAAATCTGTTGCTGCAGTGGAGTTTGAAGCTAGCAAAATGATTTTTTTTATTGCGTCCGCGTGGTTTTTTTTATCAAACTTCTTAAATTATTTATTGGGATGGCGTGTAAGCAAAAAAGTTCAAATTTCATCAAAACTTTTCCCAAAAACGAAAACCAAATGACTAAATTTCAAACTCTCGGTAGTGGCAAGGGGAGGATTCATAGACTGATCAAATTCTCAAAACATTTTAACCATTTGACAATGAAAACTTAAATGATCGCGGCCCAAAGCAATCGGAAAAATTTTTTTAAAACAATTTAAGAGCAAATATGATATGCAAATAAAAGTGTACATTTCCTTTCCCCTGAAATAGTAAAATTACGTTTAAATTTATCTGGAGGCTTTTGCTAGTTAAATTATCAATAGGTATATCTATTTTTTTCTCCTAGAAAGATGAACAACAGTTTGAAAACGTTTGGAGGCTCTTACAAATTAAAAAGATGTCATCCTTCATTAAAATTGCGTTTTTCTTTCTCCAAAAAGATAAGAAACATGTTTTCAATGGATTGAAGGCTTTTCAAGTTAAGCAAAAGTTAACATTTTTTAACAAGACTGCATATTTCCATCTCCCAAAATGATGGACGATAAGCTTAAAAAACTCTTTATTGAAGGCTTTTTAAAAAAGATTTTCAACATGTTTTTTGTACCAGAAAAGTGAACAACAAGTTTTAAAAGGTTTTGTGGTTTTTTCAACTTAAACCAGAATTCAAGTTTTCAAGAGGAGTGCATACTTTCTTCTCCCAGAAAGATGAGAACCGAGTTTACTTTTTTGGAGACTTTTTCAGGTTAAAATCATAGCTCTTTGTCTCAAAAGAATTTAAATATAGAAAATGCGATTTGCTGTTGATCCAATTTAAATTCAGGTTTTTATCAGGTTAAACAGTTGAATCTAATATTTTGATTAACGAAAGTAGTTTAAAATTCCGTTACATATTTCGAAATTTGAAATATGAGCACTAGATAAAAGTTGAATTTGAAGAACTAAATATCTATAAAGCTTTATTCAAGGCTGTTTCGTTCTGCAATCCGTTACATATTTCGAAATTTGAAACATGAGCACTAGATAAAAGTTGAATTTGAATAACTAAATATCTATAAAGCTTTATTCAAGGCTGTTTCGTTCTGCAGCGAGCAAAAAGTTCCAAAATAAAAAATATCAGTTTCTGTGATGTTTTTATTGCAAACTTCAGTTTGCTGAGGAATAAAAGCCGAGTTTAAAGAAAGACGCCGAGAATTCAATCCCCTCACCATTCAAAGGCTGCCCCCTTTGGTATTTTTATGACGAATTTTTTAGGCCGACCGACCCTATAATTTCTCTATAGACGCCTTCGGCGCCAATATATACTAATTGTGAGGGGGGAGCGCGCGCTGAAAAAACGCAATTTTTCGGTCGAATTTTTCCAAAAAAGTCCCAAAAACGGCTTGTTTGACCTGTCTTTTAGAAAATTTGACTGCCGCGCAAATTTTTTGGTCAAATAGGGTCTTTACAAAGTTCTGGGAGCGCTCGCAAATTAGTTTGGTTGAATTAAAAAGAAGGCCGACCAAGTTTTTTAAAAAAATTTTGAAAATCCATCTCCTTGAGAAAATTCTAGATCCGCTCCTCATCAACACAATACCATAGTTGATGTTTATCCGATTATTTCCATTTTTCAAAAAAAAACGGAAAAGTTTATGCTCTAGCAATTTTTTTCTCAATCAGTTTTTCATTTTTAGTTTTTATTTTCAAAATTTGATATTATTGATTTAAACTTTTCAACGCCTGAAAACGGTTTTCGATTATTCAGCTCAAATATCCAATATGTGATTTACTTTATAAATTTTAGATAGTTCGAAATTTTGACCTAATTAGACAATATTGAATATTTACAGTTCTATCAACACGTATAGAGCAGAATATTCAAAAATTTTCCAAACTAAATTTGGGAACGCTGTATGGTCCATATAGTTTGTACTTTATAACGCGCGCGTGAAGTGAAACGGGTAGACTAAAAACTGAAAATAAACTTCCACATTTTCAATTTAAGTTTTTTCATCGAAAATGTAACGCAAAATTTCAGAGACCTTAAGCTGCAGTCTTAAGCAATAAAAGTCAGAATTATAGCTACCCGTGTTGACCAAATGTTGCTATCTTATACAACTTCTGACAAAGTTTGGCTAAGATAGGGACTTTTTCTTTTAAGAAATTTGTAAGATAGGAACTTTTACAAAAATTTTTCTTGTTCTTTTTAAACTTTTTGTTTTTAAGCAGACAGATAGTTCGCTATTGTCGCAGAGTACAATAATGGAAACTCGAGTGATTTTGCTATATGAGTTCAACGAAAGACCCACTAATTTTGTAAGTTCAGTTTTTGCTAAAATTTTGTTCAATATTCACCTGAGCCCCACATACAACACGTCATCGCAGCTATATGACATGATTTGTTAAAAGTAAATTATTTATTGTCTCTAAAATTAGTTCAAACCGCGGCTCTTTTTCTTTTTTTTCCACAGCTGCAAAAATTCACAGGTAAAATTTTGTTCACATTCTTTGATTGTTATGAAAAATGACATACGGACTAATTAGGTTATGGCAAACATAATTAGTCTTCTTAATCAGCCTCGTAAAACCACTCGTTACACCATAAAATTCATAATCGTGTGAGGTGGGAGAAAAGAGCCTAAACCGCTCATTACGTATAACTGGGAGATTCATTGCAAAAAAAATTCAATTTTATCGCTTTTTTTGTTTTTTGGATTTTTCGTTAAAAATGCACGGGTTGACCTCCACAGACCAACAATGCTAGTCATACTTTTCCATGAACTAAGTTTATGAAAAAATAATAGTCGTACAAACTTCAGACATTTTGCAAAAATGGTGTCATCGAATTTTCAGATCTTTTTTCTTGTTTTGGAATAAAGTTCGGTATATCGTACAAAAAAAATTGTCAGAAAATGCTAATCGTACAATTTCCATCATAAAACAAAAATGATGGCCATTACAAAAAATTTTCCAAGTAATTTTAAAGTTGGACCGAAATTTTTTTTTTCACCCGGCAATCGAACTTTGTACTTCAACAAACATTTTAAAAAAATTGGCATGCAAAAAAAAAATATATTTTTTGTGTGCATAACGTAATCCTGGATACATTACTTTTAGATTTTTTTTCCTTTTCGCTTAATAACTTTTTTCACAAACACAAAAAACTCCTTTTTTTGTATGGCTGACCCAAAAAATTTCAGAAATCAAATTTAGAAAAAAATGAAAGTTTTTGCTGTATGGATTACTTATGTATGGAAAAACGCTTATTATAGAGATATCATACAATTTTCTGTACGTATGGAACTTAATGGAATCGTATGGTAAGAAATTTTTCATATATGAAATTGTATGATAAGAAGTTTTGATCAACCCTGGTGCCTACATTATAATCATTATCTAAAAACTTTTGCTAGCATAAACTTGAAAAATACGAAAATTGAATTTTTTTTAGTTATTATGGCATAGAAACACATTCAAAATGTTTTCGGCAATATTTTTTTGAAATTTGGGAAAAAATTATATCCTTAGAACTTTTTTCGTAAGAAAATTGTAAGATAGCAGAAATTTCTTACAAATCTTATAAGAAGTTCTAAGATAGCGGATGTCAAGCCGGGTGGACTTTATTTGAAGATACCTACATTGATCATTGCCTATCAGATTCAATAGCTTTACCAGTAATTGAAAAAAAATCATAAATACCAATGGTTTCAAAGAGTGTGAGCTTCTTACCTTTACTTGATTGATGCCTTATAACGCTCCAATTAATTTCTTTTTCTTTTCGGAACTGCCACACAAAAATGATA